ACACACCTCAAAGGTTGTTGTGAGAATTAGAGAGTGGTTAGCAAAGAGAATTAGAGCACTTAGCAAGGAATCTGGCACAAGGAAGAACCATTCAGTAAAGGTTAGCTATTGATATCATTATCATGCAAAGCCAAAGGGACTTGGATCTTTTCTTCTTTATCTTTTTATTTTCTGATTTTTTTTCCATAAATCAAAAAATAAAAAAAGAAAACCCACAATGCATTCAGCAAGGTAGAAGTTTATTTAGCTCTCAGACAAAAATCCAGGATGGGTGCCGCAGCTCTGAAACCCAGGCTTCTTCCCTCCCTATTAGGTGTGGCCCCTGTCCTCAATATTCAAGATGGTAGCTAGAGTTCTAGGGATCATGTCTGCATTCCACATAGCAAGAAGGAGGAGAGGAAAAGAAAACTCCGAAGTTTCGTTTTCCTAAAGGTTTCTTACTCAGGAAGTTTTATTCCTAAGGTTGCTTACATCCACACTGGCCTGGACTTAATCACCAGAGAGGCTGAAAATGTGACCAATATTCCAGGTAGTCATGCACCCATAAAAATGTGATTAGTATTACACTGGAAAATTGAGAGAAAGAAATATGGAGGGACAGCTATTGTTCCCTGATGTACCCAACCCTAGAAGTCTAACAGATTTGAGTCATTCCCCAGAAATCCATTCTCATCCGGCTTTTACCTGCTTGTTTCTCAGATAGGGAACAACTTCTCCAAAAAAGGCAGTTGCATAGTTTGCTTATCCTAATCCGCATGGCCTTCTTTCTTTCTAAATTCCTCTTACACTTTTTACCCCTCATCCACCAACGTCATTCATTTTCTTTTGACTGTCCAATTTTAATAAGCAATACAATTATTTTATTGTAGAAAAGTTAGAAAACACAGCTAGGTACTTAGGAATAAAGCATTTTTACAATATTCAAAAATCATACCACTTAGCAATAACCACTTCTAAAATATTGGCCTATAGTCATCTAGCATTTTCCCCAGGTGAAAATATACATGTGCATTTATAATGAAAATGTAGTCTACATAATTGTTCTTAACCCCTTCTGTTACACTTAATGGTATATTATCAGTAACATTCAATGTTATTAATTATAGATAGATTGATACATCATCAATTTTAATGACTGTAAAGGTTTTCATTCTATGGGTATGTAATGATTTATTTAACCAATTCCTTGTTTATTTCACAGCATTTTTTAAACCCCCTAGTACATACATCTTTGCTCATTTGTCCACCAGTTTCCTGGGGATGAGCTGTATTCCTGTGGTTTTCTCACCCCTGGGGTCTCCTTACTGTATGTGCAGACCAGCAGGAAAGGACAGCTCAACCATTCCATCAGCAAAGCAATGTTAGGTCTTGTCTCTACTTCTGATCTGCTTGGAGTTTTTTTTTCAAATGAACATTGCAGATTCAGGAGATCCATGAAGACCTAAATTAATGCCTCTCTATACCCCATTATATGACTAGCAAGACTGTGAATAGCAAGACTGCTACAATGATTATGATTATGAAATCATAATCCCACTGCATGGAAAGGCACAAAACAAAATATGACCCAAGGTGACTAAAGCACTTCCTCTTAAACATAATCTGTTAGAACTTGCAGTTTGTCAAGCTGACTTCAAGCAAGACTGGAGTAAAGCCATTTCTATGTGGAAAAAAAAACAATTTTAATTAGTAAAATTGTATTTGACTGAAATAATTATTTAGACAACTGATTTGACAAATGATTATGCTTGAGCTGATTTTTTTTTTAAGCCGACGATCGATCTCTGACTAATTGTTTCTTTGTGTCAGTTGAGCTTCCTAATGATCCAAATGCTCATTTTATAAATGAATACGGTTTAGGAAAGACTGAGTAACTTGGCCATGATTACACAAATGGAAAGAAGTGGAGCCAGAATTCAAAATCAGTATTCAGACCCAGAGTCACTGACTCCACTCTCATAGATGTGGAGTCAAGTTCCCAACCCTGTTGCTGGCATAGTGATTAAGAAAAAGGGCTCTAGCATCAGGTAGTCTGAGTTCATGTCCCATATCTGCCATTTCTCAGCTTTGTCATCTTATGCAAGTTAATAAATCACTCTATGTCTCTGTCATCCTGTCTTATAAATGGAGATAGTGAGTGTCTAACTCCAAGGGCTCCATAAAAGAGATGATCCACATACACACTTAGCACATAGGAAGTGCTCAGTAATTAGTTATTAATATGCAGGTGCCATCTGAAAACCTATTAGTTATTAATATCATGCAGGTGCCGTCTGAAAACCTTGGCCGAAAGGGTCGTAGATATGGTGGCCATCGGGGTTCAGGTATACCTGTAAAGGTATATTACACAGGTAAACTCGTGTCATGGGCATTTGTTGTGCAGATTATTTCATCACCCAGCAATGAATGAGACTTCCTGTTGCTCTTCGTTCTCCCCAGCATTTGCCATTGTCAGTGTTTCAGATTTTCACCCTGCTAGTAGATGGGAAAACTGGCAACCATGCCTGAAGGTCTGATATATGCATCTGTAAGTGTACATGCAGCCAAAGAAGAGGAAACCAAAAAGCAGCTGGTGAAACCAGAGCAGCTCCCCGTATATGCTGCACTGTCGCTCCATGCGAAATATGTTTAAGAGCAGCCTGGTCATTTACAAGTGGGCTTTGCTTCCATCCACACTGCAACTGGTCATTATATTGGCTGGTGCAAAGGTGTTTATGTCTTTGTGAAAAATGGGATGATGGATACAGTACAATCTGGAAAAGATGCTTATGTCTATATGAAAAATCCTCCTTGGGATTTTCTTCCAAAAATGAAAGTTATTACGGTTTCAAATGGGCTTGGTTTCAGCAAGAAAAAGTTCTAAGTTAAAAAAAATTACTTATCCTCTAGGACTGGTCACTTAGGAGCAACTCTTTGCTACCCGGTTCAGTCAGTAATAATTGCTAAGGTAACAGGGAAAAGGTACATGCTACAAGCCAGCAGATTTTTGGAGTAGTTAAATCATTGTGGATAAAAAGCAGCATAAAAGAGTCACTCCCTAAACCTAAAGAAAAAACTAAGCTAGGATCCTCTGCCGAAATAGAAATAGAAGTGCCTGCCAAAACAACTCGTGTCTTAAAACACTCAGTGCCCTTGCCAACAGAACTCAGCTCTGAAGCAAAGACCAAATCAGAATCCACCTCAGGTGCTACACAGTTTATGCCTGACCCAAAGCTCATGGATCACAGGCAGTCCCACCCAGAAGACATAGATACATACAGCACTAGAAGCTGAAGTAGACTGTATAGAGAGACTACATAGGAAACTACAAGAAGTGTGAAGTTGCAAATAATGATGAAAAAAATCACATCATGGGTAACTGATACATGGAGTATTACTTAAACCAAGTTTTTCCTTAACTCTCCAAATGTGCAAGTCAATAAATTACATAAGTGGTTAACGCACAAACTCTGAATGCAATCCAAACAATATTAAATGATTGATGAGGAAACACAGGTAGAAATATTAGCCTGCATTTAATGACCTTTAAGGGCATTTATTTTTTAAAAAATGAGGATATGAATTCCAGTGAGACTAAAATCTGAAAATGCATATATGTATGTATAAAGACATACATATTTATATGTATAAATATATTTCTGCTCTACCTTTCCCAAATTAATGTCAGTTAAATTAGAATGGTGTGTGGAAAGATGTGTTTCCCGCTGGTTTTTGTTGTTGTTGTTGCTGTTTTGTTTTGTTTTCCATGTCCCATAGCTGAAATAAAATATCCATGTTTTATGGGGAAAAAGTATTATGCAGGTATACCCCAGAGATAGTGTAGGTTCAGTTCCAGACCACTACAATAATGCTAATACCATAATAAAGCAAGTCAAACAAATTTCTTTATTTCCCAGTGTATATAAAAGTTGTTTACATTACACTGTAGTCTATTAAGTGTGCAATAGCATTATGACTAAAAAAATATATCTAACTTAATTTAAAATACTTTATTACTAACAAAAAAGTTAATGATGATTTGAGCCATCTTCTTGCTGGTGGTGGGTCTTGCCTCAATATTGATGGTTTGTGGCTTCACCTTACATTTTTAAGTTATAGAGACAGCTTCTTTTCTTTAACCTCAAACAATCTCAGCTGGCTTCAAACTTTTCTTCTGCAGCTTCCACACCTCTCTCAGCCTTCATAGAATTAAAGAAAGTTAGGATCTTGATCTGAATTAGGCTTTGGCTTAAGGGTATGTTGTGGCTGGTTTGATCTTCTATCCAAACGAGTCAAACTTTCTCCATATTAGCAATAAGGCTGTTTCACTTTCTTATCATTTATGTGTTCACTGTGGTAGCACTTCTAATTTCCTTCAAGGACTTTTCCTTTGCATTCACAACTTGGCTAACTGTTTGTCACAAGAGGCCTAGCTTTTGGCCTATCTCAGCTTTAGTCATGCCTTCCTCACTAAGATTAATCATTTCTAGCTTTTGATTTAAAGTGAGAGTGGTAGGGTTCTTAATTGGCCTCATTTTAGTATTTTTGTGTCTCAGAGAATAGGGAGGCCCAAGGAGAGGGAGTGAGATGGGAGAATGGCCAGCTGGTGGAGCAGTCAGAACACAAACGTTTATTGATGAAGTTTGCCGTCTTGTACGGGCAGTTTGTGGCACCCAGCCCCCAACCCAGGCATTACAATAGTAACATCAAAGATCACTGATTACAGATCACCATAGCAGATATAATAATAATGAAAAAGGTTAACATATTTAAAGTTAATAAGTTACCAAAATATGACGCAGAGACACAAAGTCAGCACGTGGTGTTGGAAAAATTGCACCAATAGACTTATTCAGCACAGGTTGCCATAAATTTTGATTTGTAAAAAACTCAATATTTGCAAAGCATGTTAAAGCAAAGTATAATAAAATGGGGAATGCTTGTATCTTCTGTTCCTCCAGACTCTAAGCTAAGTAGATATTTGAGCTAAGTATGTATTTTATTGGTCTGTGCCATTGCAGGTGCCTCGAGCAAAGGCCTTATGCAACTACAGAGGGCAGAATCCTGGTGACCTCAGGTTTAATAAGGGAGATGTCATTCTTCTCCGGAGACAGCTTGATGAGAATTGGTACCAGGGGGAAATCAATGGCATCAGCGGGATCTTCCCAGCCAGCTCTGTGGAAGTCATCAAGCAGCTGCCCCAGCCACCCCCACTCTGCAGGGCCCTCTACAACTTCGACCTACGAGGCAAGGACAAGAGTGAGAACCAGGATTGCCTCACCTTCCTCAAGGTAGGATTCTGGGTGGCCACCAGAGTCATGTGGGACCACACAGAGACCATAGCAGAGAAAGAGTTGCTTGTTTAACATTTGTTGATTTAAAAAAATTATATATTAAATATATTATTGTTTATTCTTTTATGCATAAAATGTATTTTATGCATCAATTATATATGTAATATGTGTGTACGAGTCAAACTACGTGCAAGTGAAATCTCTACAGAAATCTACAAATAAGTGATAGAAATCTGTGAGCCTTTTTTATTGTAATTACAAAAGTATGCACTTGTTCATTCATTCATTCTATCACTTTTGAGCATGTACTCTTTGCAGATCCTGGGAATAGGCCATGAATAAGTCACAGTCTTTGCCCTCCTGGCAGAGTAACAGAAAATCACAAACAATTTGATAACATGCTATGTAAAACTACACCCCTACCTCTTTATCATGTATGTGGAAGGGTATTCTTGCTGACCAAGTTATGGTTACCTAATTCTACCCATTTACAATATTCTATCTTGTTGTAAACATCACATTCAAAACACTGCAGACACACATAACAACATAATCATGCCTTTCTACATAAATAACCTCTTACAAGACATATTTTTCAAACATTAATTACCCTAAGATTTCTTGTGCCTCTGTTTTTCATTAGATGATTCCCCACCATTTGCAAGTAATGACAGTTCTGCTAAAATCTACACCACTTTTAACTCTCTGTATTCAGTATTTGTTATTCCATAAACATTCACATCTCTCATAGAAACCACAGTTGAAATTATTTTCATTCTTCACTACTGGTGATAAGTAGATCAAATATAAGTATAGAAAGTGGCACTGTTACAAAAGTTTAGCCAAGATCTTTTGCTTTGCAAAATATTTTTATTCCACCAGTACCAGAAAGGAGCTTTACTTCAGGTTTCCTCAAACTAGACAACCTCTCTGTCCTCCACGTTTTGAGATAATGATGTTTATTATTACCTTGGAACCTCAGAGTGAGACTCCTAAGGAAGGTCATTCTACAGCCCAAACAGCAAAGTTTAGATGTAGACTATGGTTAGAGGAAGGTCAGTTCAATTCCACAAATATTTAGTAAGTATTTATTTTGTGCCAGGCATTAGACACACAGCTGGAGGAAGACATAAACAGGGAGTATCATCATCTGCCTCTCTGACCCTTTCTGGGAATTTGCAAACTGGGACACTTACTCTACACGCTTATTCAATTTTGAGCCCACCCATGTGCCAAGCTGGCCATTGGAGATAAAGTGATGAGTCATTGTTCTTACCTTCACAGAGTTGGCAATCTAGTGGAAGAAACACACATATAAATGGGAAATTATGATAAAGAAACCGGAAAAGAGGATTTGACCCATTCTGGAAGGCTGTGGAATACAGAGACTTCTAGGGAATCTCATGGTCTAAACTCAGCACATCCAAATTAAACTCTAGATATTCCTTCCCAAAGTTGCTCTTTTTCTAGTGCTTTCTAGCTCAGTAAATTGTATAATTTATTCAACTTCATGTATTTATTTATGCATGGATGCGTTCAGGAAATATTTATTGCCTGATTACTAAAGGGGGCCACTGCATTAGGTGCTAGGGACAGCAAAGATTAACAAAGCAGACACAGGCCCTGCATACATGGAGTTTATGGTCTCATAGGGTAGACAGATGTTAAAGAAATAATAACCTCTGGGAGCATTGGTTCACGCCTGTAATCCCAACACTTTGGGAGGCCATGGTGGGCAGATCACTTGAGGTCAGGAGTTCAAGACCAGCCTGACCAACATGGCGAAACCCCGTCTCTACTAAAAATATAAAAATTAGCTAGGTGTGGTGGTGCATGCCTGTAGTCCCAGCTACTCAGGAGACTGAGGCAGGAGAATCGCTTGAACCTGGGAGGCGGAGGTTGCTGTGAGCCAAGATTGCGCCATTGCACTCAGCCTGGGCAACAGAGCAAGATTCCATCTAACAGCAACAAAAAAAGGAATAACCTCTAAATGCGTAATTGCAAATGTGTAAGAGCAGGAACTCCAACCCCTGGACCACCAACCAGTACCAGTCTGTGGCCTATTAGAAAACAGGCCGCACAGCAGGAGGTGAGCAGGGCAAGCGAGCAAACCTTCATCTGTATTTATAGCTGCTCCCCACGGGTTGCATTATTGCCTGAGCTCCACCTCCTGTCAGATCAGTAGCAGCAATTAGATTCTCATAGGAGCATGAACCCTATTATGAACAGCGCATGCAAGAGATCGAAGTTACGTGCTCCTTATGAGAATCGAATGCCTGATGATCTGAGGTGGAGCGTTTTATCCTGAAACCATCCCCTATCCCCCTACCCTCTCTCCCTACTCCCTACCCACTGCGTCCATGGAAAAATTGTCTTTCTGGTCCCTGGTGCCAACAAGGTTGGGTACTGCTATGTAAGAGGAAGCTAAGAAAGGGTATAATGCAGTAACAGATTTAGATTTGAATTAATCCTAATTCCTGAGGAGCATGGAACATAATGTCAGAGAGATCAGGAGGTCTTTAGTGGATGAATATACAGGTTGAACTTGATGGATGTCGTATGGACGTGGTAAGGTGTTCCTAAAATGGTATTAAGTAAAAAAAAAAAAAATCGGTTTCCCATATGGCTTCATTTGTGTGAAGTACAGGAACAGGTAAAATAAATGTATAGTACTAGAAGTCAGAGTAGTGGTTGCCTTTTAATAGGTGGTGGGAAAGGGTGCAAAGGAACTTCCTGGGTGCTGGGGATATTCTATATCTTTATCTGAACAGGGATTTCATGGATATATTGAAATGTAACATTTCTCAAGATTGCACTTCATTATGTGGATGTGTGTATGTTTTTGGAAAGTTTTTTAAAAATTTGTACATTTATATGTGTGTATGTTTTGTCTTGATAGAAAAGAATTTGGAAAAAATGTGTTATTCAAGCTGTTGACAGTGACTGTATCTTTATTGTGGAATAATATTTTCCTTGTTTTGCTTATCTGTATGTTCAAATGTTTCTACAAATTTACATATAACCTTTTGTAGTAAGAAAAATCTGAACAAAAAGTTGCTTTATGTTTGATGCATTAAAAATTGAAAATGTTCTGAAAAGTCTTCTACATGAGCATAAAATGAATTTTTCTTTTTGCAAAGCTAAAAGTGCTTCTCCCTATGGCTTCCATCTTGATTTCTCTATCAGATAAATTTAAATGAAAAGCTTGGACACTCCTTGTGATTAAAAATTGGAACATTTCTAAGTTTTCCTATTGGATTCTATTGATCCTCCAAATTATTTCTACTCCCCTATGGTCTCGGTGACACAAATACTGCCCTTTATGAAGAAAGTTCATTTTAGCAAAAAGACTTCCCAAATAAATCAAGCACAAGCTATATTCCTCACACCTTACACCATCTGAGACTCCAAACTGATCTCCGCTGAAAGCTTCTATTGCCTGAAAATGAAAGTAAATGCTGACCATGAGATTTTCTCTTTCAGGATGATATCATCACTGTGATCAGCCGAGTGGATGAGAACTGGGCAGAAGGCAAGTTAGGAGATAAAGTAGGCATCTTCCCTATCTTGTTTGTAGAGGTACGTGAGTATCAAGTCTATATCTGATTCACACTTATACAGAAATATGCATGTGCTACCGTGATGCCTGAGAACAATTCCTATTTGATAGGAGGCTTATTTCAGAACTAAAATCTCTAAAGAATAGATGCCACACAATAATACCTAATTCTAGCAAGAGTCAGGAAATGAGTGAAATCTCTCATATGCAAACTAAAATAAACTTACACCAGAAGTATTAAAACTGTGCGTCCTATGAGCCCACAAGTCTACATCTGAGAGTTTATTGTAAGAAAATATTTAGATAAGTATGCAAAGATAGACATATAAAATGTTCAAAAATGTTCACCATAACATTAGGTGATGATGTATAATTATGACAAACCAGAAGTACTCGAAATATTCAATAATAAGGACTTCATTTTTAAAAATTGTGGGGATGAAAAAAGTGTCTCTCAATGGAGAACACTATAATATATGGAGAATAATATTTAATATCACAAAGTATTTGATATTATGGAAAGATTTATGATTCATCGTTAAGCTTTCTAAAAGTTTAATAGGTACACAGTTTCAGATTTGCAGGATAAAAGAGTTCTAAAGATGTATTTCATAACAGTGTGAATATACGTAACACTGCTAAACTGTACACTTACAAATGGCGCAGAAGGTAAATTTTATGTTACATGTCTTTTATCACAATAAAAAAAATAAGTTGGACCATATGGAACCAGCTTTATAAATATATGTGTGTTTATATAAATGGATAAAGGACTAGAGAAGTATATGTATCAAAATGTTAACATTCTGTGATCACTAGATGGTGAGATTCTAGATGCTTTTCATTTTCTTCTGCCAACTTGTATTTTCTACATCTTCTGAAATTAGCATATATTTATTATTTCTGTTTTTTTAAAGAAAGATTTTTTTAAAAAAGAAAGAAAACATGCTAAGTTATCTGTATCTTCAGTATAATAATATAACAGTCAATGTCTAATCTCATTAGCCATGAGCCTCACTTTAGCTTGAAGCAAGTCATTACACATTTAAAAGAGAGGTTTTGGCCAGGTGCGGTGGCTCATACCTGTAGTCCCCGCCCTTTGGGAGGCAGAGGCAGGTGAATCACAAGGTCAAGAGATGGAGACCATCCTGGCCAACATGGGGAAACTCCGTCTCTACTAAAAAATAGAAAAATTAGCTGGGCGTGGTGGCGTGCGCCTGTAGTCCCAGCTACTCGGGAGGCTGAGACAGGGGAATTGCTTGAACCCAGGAGGCGGGGGTTGCAGTGAGCCAAGATGGTGCCACTATACTCCAGCCTGGTGCCTGGCGACAGAGTAAGACTCTGTCTCAAAAAAGAAAAAAAAAAAAAAAAAAGTTTCATTGTTTAACTGCATGTATTAGGTGTTTAACGTGCATAAAGCATTAAAAATGAGTAGTGGAAAGCTATGAAAGAAGTAAAAGATGTGCTGTCTACCCTGGGGGTTGGAGGGTTTGAAACAGAACAGACCACAATGGAGAAGCGACCAGTTCTTCTAATCATAAGAGCTAAAGCAGGTTCTAAAATGAATGGCATACCCAGAGCATTGCACAGCTTTCAGGGTCCTCTATAACTCCTCTACTCGATCAGTGTCCTCCGGAGGGGTTGGAGGAAGGGTCCAGAGAGGCTGGGCTTCTTACTGCCTCTATTAAACTCATTCCTACTTCTCATTCCTAATGCTTTTTCTCTTGCCGGGGCCCCTTTCAGATACACCACCCAATTCTCTTTACCTGTTCAAATTTCACTTATTTTATAAGGCTCAAATAGAAACCCACTTTCTCTATAAAATTTCAGCAAGTAGTTAAACCCTCAATGGTCTCTTTCCTCACTGAATATCTGATGAGTGTATTAGTTGTACTTCACAGGCTAACCTAATACAGAATAGGCACTCTGTTTTTAAAAAATTAGCTTAACAAGTGAATGAATGGAAAATGATTCAGAAAGTAGTCAAAGCTCCCAAGGGGAAAAAAAAAATTAAAGAGCAAACCATTCGGTGTAACCCTGTCCTAAACATATATTTAATTATTCAACTAATTTTTCATTGAGTGCCTGCTATGCCAGGACCTGCGCCTAGTTCGAAAGACACAAGACAAACACGGGTCCCTGCCCTGAGAGACTGTAAAGTCAGAAAGTATTCCAGTAGTTACAAGTGTGATGAATCATGTAAAGACTGAAGAAGCCAAGTATAGTGGCTCATGGCTGCAACCCCAACACATTGGGAGCTAAGGTGGGAGGTTTGCTTGAGGCCGACAGATTGAGACCAGCTTGAGCAACATAGTGAAACTCCCATCTCTACAAAACACTTATAAACTAGCCAGGTATGATGGCCCACACTTGGTCCCAGCTACTTCAGAGGCTGAGGCAAGAGAATTGTTTGAGCCCAGGAGGTCAAGTCTGCAGTGAGCCATGATTGCGACACTATACTCTATCCTGGACAACAGAGCAAGATCCTATCTCAAAAAAGAAAAAAAAAAAAGACTGAAGTAGAGGAAACTATTAGGAAGTTATGATATGCAACTTACCTGGGCAGAAAGTCAGCAAATGTCACTTATGCCAAGATCTGACAGAAAAGTAAGTATGGAAGGAAGAGTGTTTTAGGTGATGGAGGTAGCATGTGCAAAAGTCCTGCAGAATGAGGAAGTAAAGTGTAGCCAGGGGAAAAAAGAAGTACCAGAGCTGGAACTTAGAGAGTAAAAGAAGAACAAAAAGTGAAGCCAGGGAAGCAAATGTAAGGTAGATCACAGAAGACTTCATAAACCATCCTGTATAGTCAAGATAGGCTAGGTTATGCCGTGGCAATAAACAGCATCAAAGTCTAAGTGGCTTAACAAAGAAAAATATTATTCCTCACCTACATTCCATGTTCAGTGCAGAACGGTGAGGGGTTCTGCTCACATAGTCACTCAGGAACCCAGATTAGGAAGTCCACCTGTTCCAGATGATGCATCTTGTAGCTGCATCATCTGGAACAGGTGGACTTCCTAGTTTCCACAGTAGGGATGCATGAAAAAGAGTGAGTTGTATCAGCAACTAAACACCTCATCTCAGAAGTGACACTTGTCACTCCCACTCACAGCCCATTAGCCTGAATCAGTTACATAGCCTTATCTGATTTCAAGTCAGCTGAGAAGTATAAGGGAACACATGAAACATTGGGTTTCGTTGCATTTGTCATATCATAAGAAGAGTGGATTCAACCCAAAAGCCAATAGAAGCCATTGAAAGGTTTTTTGAAGTGACCAGGCTTGGATTTCTTAAAGACTGTCCTGGCTGCAGTAGGAGGAATGATTTGAGGAGGAGAGAGAAAAAAGCAGAAAGTCCATTTAGGAGGCTCCTGCATTGCCCAGTTAGATGACTGTGGATTAGACCAGGAGGTTCAGGGACACTTCAGGAGGTAGAATCCAGAGGACTTTGGGGTTAACAGAGGCAGGGATAGAGAAGATAAGTGGTTAAGGACTGCCCTACTTCTTGATTTATGGACGTAGGTCAGTGGCAGAGCCATCTGCTGGGTAGGAGCCTTTTCTGGGAAGGAAGTTACTATGATTCGGAAACAATGGTTGACTCTCCAAGGACAGAGATCAGCTGCAATTAGGTACCTAGTTGGACCCATAGGAGGTACTTAAGTATTTATGGAAGTCGTTGCCTGGTCTACTGCATTATCTTTAGATGCTTCTTCATAACTCTGGGACAGCGGGGAGGCGCCACTCATCTTGTTACCCATTTCTGGTTTTTTTGTTTTGTTTTGTTTTGTTTTTTGAGACGGAGTTTCACTCATGTTACCCAGGCTGGAGTGTAATGGCGTGATCTTGGCTCACCACAACCTCCGCCTCCCGGGTTCAGGCAATTCTCCTGCCTCAGCCTCCTGAGTAGCTGGGATTACAGGCACGCGCCACCATGCCTAGCTAATTTTTTGTATTTTTAGTAGAGACGGGGTTTCACCATGTTGACCAGGATGGTCTCGATCTCTTGACCTCGTGATCCACCCGCCTCGGCCTCCCAAAGTGCTGGGATTACAGGCTTGAGCCACCGCGCCCGGCCTTGTTACCCATTTCTGAAACCCCTTTTCCCAAAACTTCCCCATTTAATGATTATTCATTTGGATGCACTTTCCTACCACTTCACCTCTAAAATTAGCAAATACAAGAACCATCAGGATTATCATTAAACTAGCCAGTGCTTCATTTGTTCTCCTAATTGCTTGAAGGGGAAAAAGATAATCAAGTGGTTGCTCTAATCTGGAAACTTTTTCTTCAAAAATTGCCTGAAATCTAAATTGTGCTTTTTAAAGTAGCACTTAAATTTTGACTTCAGTCATTTCATTAAGACTAGCACTTGCTGAGATCTCTTTAAATAAGTTTTGAATTACCAGTGCCATGCAAAGCAATTAGAAGGAGGGGAGTCTTTCTTATGAGCATGGGGTGTGTGTGTGTGTGTGTGTGTGTGTGGTGTGTGTGTGTGTGTGTGTGTGTGGTGTGTGTGTGTGTGTGTGTGTGTGTGTGTGTGTGTTTTGGCATAAACAGGCTTTTTCTTGTTAGTGTATCATTTTACTTATTGAATTGCACTTAACATTAAAAGGTGATAAAACAAAGGTTCAGCCTATGCTCATTCATATCAGGACTCCTCCGGTGGAGCCTGCCTGGGTTATGTGAACTTTGCTCAGCCCAATGAGCCTCGACAATATTGTTTTTAAATGAGTGGGTGCAAATCTAAGAGACCTGCAGCTCTTTCCCAACAGAGCTATTAATCATATTGGCAGAGGACAGGGCAGATGCAGAGTTTCCAGGGGCCCTTTGTCAGTGTTGATGTTAGAAAAGCTGAAGGTGGTGCTCACCTGGGGACAGAACAATTAGGCAGAAGCAGAAAAAATTAACTCATTTCATTATAGCCATGAATGGCTGCATAAAGAACTTTACTCATTCAATTCAGAGCGTATATTGCCCCTTTACTGGGTGAACAATGGAGGGGCAGGTACCCTGGGTCCTATAAGTCATTTTTCCTGTTCAGGCTGCCATCAGAGCTTGCCTAAACAATTTCAATAACTTCCTAATTGGCCTCCCTACTTCTGTTCTGGCAATTCTAAGTAACAGCCAAAACGAGCTTTTTATTTATTTTTTTAATTTACATACAGAAAAATTTACTCTTTTTAACATCCAGTTCTATAAATTTTAATAAATGCATACAACTGTGTAACCACACCACAATCAATAGAATAGTTCCAATAGCCGCCCCAAAATTTTGCATGCTGCCCTTTTATAGTCAATTTCTTCCCCAACTCATAACCACTGGCAACCACCAGTCTGTTTTCTGCTCCTGTAGGTTTCTTTTTCCAGAGTGTCATATAAATGGAATCATACAGAATGTAGCTTTTTGAGTCAGGCTTCATTTTGCATGATGCATTTGGGATTATCCATGCTGTTTCATGTATCAGTAGTTCATTCCTTTTTGATGCTGAGTAGTATTCTATTGTATAGATGTGCCAGAGTTTGTTCATTCACCTCTTGAAAGACACCGGAGTTGTTTTCCAACTGTTGGTAACTATGCGTAAAGCTGCTATAAACATTTTCATACTGGTTTTTGAGTGGGCATAAGTCTTCCTTTCTCTTGGGTAATTACTTAGGAGTGGAATTGCTGGGTCAGATGCTAAATGTGTGTTTAACTTTCTAAGAAACTGCCAAACAGTAGCATGAGCTTTTAAAGGCACAAATCAGATCATATCACTCCTCTACCTAAGTCCTACCAAAGACTTCCTATTATACGTAGAATAAAATGGAACCCTCCCTGACTCTTATGATCTGGCCCCTGCCTATCTCTGTAACCTCTTTCATCATCTTCTCCTCACATGCTCTGTTCCAGCCTTCCCTCTGTTTCTTTCTTCTGTCTTTCTCTCAAGCAAGCTGAGCCCTTTCCCTTTTTAGGACTTTCACACTAGCTTATAGTGCCTCTTTGGGCATGTTCTAACCTCCATTTTTACTTAGCTAGCTCCTTGTTGACATTTGTTGCTTCAGCTTAAATGCCACCTTCTCAGATCTTCCTCGACCCCCTAATTTACAGTAGCTGCCTCCCCAGTCGCTCTCTATCACATCAGAGCACTTATTATATGATGTTTTCTTGCTTACATGCTGGCTCTGTCATTTATAAGTCATCCCTTCCAGGCCTCGGCCTTCTTATCTTTAAAGTAGACATAATAATACTCATTCCCCTACTTGATGAGGTTTTCACAATACTATATGCTTCTTGTGGCAAGAAACACATCTTCTTTAAAATTTTCTTTTTAAGAAATTTATTTATTTATTCCTCAACAAAAAACCATATTCAATAAAATTTTCTATGTCAGCTATTTTAATCCTCTGCACATTGTCTCTAAAAAGTCTTTTAATGGGCAAATTTCCTTTACCTCTATAGCTGGATTTCTACATTAGAATGAGATCTGGTTTTAGAGGGCAACTGGTAACAATAATAAAAATGGAAATTTAGGTAATCATTCTAAAATTTTAGTTATTGCACTAACCCTTGTTTGTCAACATGTTTCAGATTTCCAAAGAAAATGAACCCACAGGGGCCCTCAGTGAGTAGGGTACTCAAAATATTATTATATATTTCTTGTGAGAATTGACCAATATAGTAGGGAAGACAGACATAACACAGTGGTGTACTGGAGCTGGCTGGAACTAGATCACAAGAGCTGGTTGTTACATTTTCAGGAATTTTGCCAGCCAGTTGTTAAACCATTGGTGGCTTGGAAAACTCCACAAATTGGGACTTGTTTTCTTTCTTGCTTGCTACTTTTTTTTTTTTTTTGGACAGCTTTTTTACCAATACATCACCAGCCAAGAGATATAGAACAAGGAAGAATGGTGATTACATGAACATATTTAAAGGAAGTAGTAAAAGACAGTCTTAGAATAAGGATTCAGGGTACTGAATGCACTTATATTCTGACTCAAACACATCAAATGTATAAATTTGGGCAACTTCATTCACTCATTATTCCACAAACACTAAGTATCTACTCTGGGGTACAGGAGAGAATCACGTGTAGAAAAAGAAGGTCCCTGCAACCCAGGTAGCCTACAGACTAGTGGGGGAAAGGCAAGTAAAGGATTGTGGTTTGGAGTGAAAAATGCAATGACTGGGAAGCACAGGGGCTGCTGGGAGCACCAGGAAGGACAAGGGGATTCCAGGATGGCTAAAGGAAGAGAAAGGAAGCCCACTGGGTGAAAAGAGCTGGATATGACTGGGAAAAATGGGTAAAAACAGAATACTCTCAGCCAGGAAAGAGCATCATGGCTTATTTTTATCCCCTTTGGACCTCAGTAAAAGAGTAATACTTTGCAAGAAAGTTGTGAGAATACATTGATAGAGCAAAGTCATGAGGATGCACTGATAAAAGATGGAAGCTGTTACTGTGCTCACCAAGGTATGAGCGTCTGAGCCAGTGACTGAGGAGGCGGCATCTGACCTGGCTTTACATGGGTGTGGGTAGGAACTGGCTGCTCACATTAAATCAAGAAGACATACTTCTCATTGGACCTTTTGTCTTTTCAGCCAAACCTCACCGCAAGACACCTTCTAGAAAAGAACAAAGGTCGCCAGTCATCCCGCACAAAAAACCTGTCCCTGGTGTCCTCATCCTCCAGAGGCAACACACCCACCCTCCGTAGGGGACCCGGGTCCAGGAGGAAGGGGCCTGGGCAGTTTTCCATCACAACAGCCTTGAACACGCTCAACCGGATGGTCCATTCTCCTTCAGGGCGCCATATGGTAGAGATCAGCACCCCAGTGCTCATCAGCTCCAGCAACCCCTCTGTGATCACCCAGCCCATGGAGAAAGCAGACGTTCCCTCCAGCTCGGCGGGGCAGGTAGGGAAGAAACTCCTGGGACGGGGGCACTTTGGGGTTGGGCAAGTGATTCATACACGTCACAAGCAATATTTGATGCTTAGTACTTGCTAAGCACCCAGAATGCGCCGATAGTAACTAATGCCGTACATGTTGCATGTCAGAATTGTATAGACATTTCCTTTCATCTTGAACAGCCTGCGAGTTAGGTGTTATTACTATTATCCCCATTTTACAGATGGAGGAACTGAGGTTTAGAGGGGTTAAACAGCATTTTCCAAATTCTCACAGATACTTTTCTTTCCCTTGCTGAGTGCCATGACATGGTTCCTGTCCCTTAGAGAACTTCCCTCTGAGAAGATGATGGCACCTATTTTCTCAAGAGTGTTTTGGCATCACAGTTTAAGATTCACTATTCCATCCTCTGGCAATATATTAGGCATCAGATGGAAAGAAAGCAAAAGAAACAAAAAGAAACTATGGGTTATTGAATGTTGTCAGGACTGGTTACCTACATTTGCAGGACCCAGTGTAAAATGAAAATACAAGTCCTTTGCTCAAAAATGATCGAGAATTTCAAGATGAGAACAGCAGAGCATTAAACCTGTGTGGCTACGCAAGTCACACACTGGTGAAGCCAGCCCTGGGTGTTTGCAGATGGAGAACCTGATAAGATAATGCATGTAAACTGCCTAGCACCATGATACCTGCCATATACTAAGCATCAGCTCTTAATACTACTGTTGTTAACCCTGGTCACTGTATTGCCAACTGACGAGAGATAAGCCTAGAGTTGGTGGTGGCAATCCAGAAGCTGAAGTATTTCTAGCAGCATATGGCTATTTAGGTTGAAGCGTACTTCAAAAGATGGAGTGGAGGTATGAGGTGAAGTAATTAAGAAGAACCTCATGTTGGGTACTCAGCTGAAAACACTCTTTGGGACCATGCAGGTCGCAACGTGAAAGGACAAAACTCAACTTGCACTGATGTGGTTTTTTTTTAAGAAGCTGTAAATCTTGTTTTTAAACATGAATTTCTACCTTGGGATTAAAAGGCTTAATTGGATTCTAATCCCCTTTTAACAAGACAAGGAGGAAAGAGAAAGTCAAGGGCTCCTCAAAGACCTGTGTGCTATTCTGAAAGGAAAACAATCACCTCTTAACAACCCTTCATATCTTGTATCACTGTCTGGGTCACTAAGAAGTTGGCTGCTCATGTAATTCTGCCCACCACCTGCACCACATGCACACACATACATACTTTCTCTTTCTCCTCCATTACACTCCCCTTGCTTTAACAAAACTATAAAACTTTCTACATACACATCCCACTTCTTTACAAGTACATATTAATATACACTTTATGCCCAAAGTTCTCACACACACACACACACACGCACTCTAAAATGGGAGCCTTGTGACTCACAGTTAAGCCAAAGAGTCACAGAATTTTTTGAAACGATTTTTTTATACATAGTCATAGATATATAAAGTGCAGCCCACATTCAATAGAAATATATATAAAGTGCAGCCCACACTCAATAGAAATAAGCTAACTCACTCAGCTTTAAGTTAGCTTCACAAAAGATTTAGCCAAGAGTCATTTTCCATGTGCTTTTAAAATTCTTATTCTGGGCATTTATGTCATCTACAGAGGCTGGACCAGAGTGGGAGAAGTCTAGCAGGAGTTAAAACAAGCATCATTCCTTCGTAGTTTTCACAAATAGTGAGAATTCCAGAGTATGGCATTCACACATCCGATGACCAGGGAACCACTTCACGGCAGCCTTTTCTCCATTCAGATGGCTGTGGCTTATAATTATTTCTACATGTTTGTCCAAGGGCTGTAAAAACACACTCGAAATGGCCCACTTAGGCGTTATACCTAAAGATGAGTGGAAAGTTGAACAAATGACAAGTTCTTCCCTTTTCTCTAACATTCTTGAGAGCTGTCGTTGGGTCTAGCTCATCACACTCTTCCTATCTTCCCCACTCTTAGAACCCACATGGTGCCTAGACCCCAGCAGGTGCTCAATAAATCAAGGAACCAAGACTTTTGACATAAATATCTGGGCTGATGGTGGTGACATATACTTAGGGAAGACTGGAGAAAGGATTAATTTCTTAAAGAAAGATTACAGATTAATGTAACTCTTCCAGCCAATAAACATCTGTTGAACGCTTACAGTGTGCTAGTAACCATAGCGAGTACTGGGGATTCTACTACCAAAGCAAGAACAGTAATATAACCTCAAGCTTTACTGAAACTAATATGAGATGGATGGATCTGTAGGTAGGCAGGTAGGTAGGTAGATATATAGATAGATACATAAATAGAATGATATCCTGTAATGGGAAAGTCTCCTTTGACTGCCAGTCTCCTAAGTCCTGCCCTCTATTCTAAAACCGTAGTAAAAGCCTTTGTAGGGGAGGTATTATCAACACTTTACAGCAAGGTAACTAAGTCCCCAAAAGAAAAATGATTCAGCCAAGCTCACGTAATTTAGTAAAGAGTCTGGATTGATTTTACAATTGTCTAATTCTAGAACATAAGCTTTTGTCACTACACTATGCTGTCAACCAAGACCGCATTAAGCAACATTGTTATGCACACATAGTTTATCCTGGATGTCTGCAGCCTCCCTTTTCTTGGTCATCTTCACTTGACTCCTTTTCAACGCTAAGGCCTTCCAGCATTCTCTTCTCCACCCGCCCCCTCAGTAAAGAATTTGTCCTAAGTGTTTTGCACCTGAAAAATGCTTCCATTTACTGTTTTCTCATGAACTACCAGTTGCGTCCAAACATTGTGTATGGTGCTGATGGTACCAAGAATAAGCTGCTGCCTTGTTCTCCTCCTGTGGTAGAGACAAGTCTTGGATTGTCCCTCAAACTCCAAAGGGGAGCAATTGCTACCCTTTCATAATGAGAAGCCAGAGTCAGGAATTTTTTCCCCTTTGTCGTTCTGTCTTTCCACCTGTGGGAAACCACTTGGAACTTCTGGGTAGAACATCAGGAAATGACCTCACAGATGAACTGCAACTACAATGGCACTAAAAACAATGGCACTCAAACACAATTCAGGATTAGACCTGAAGTTGCTGAGTAAGATCTGTGGAAAACTGCAGTGGAGGAAGTTAAGTGGGTGGATTGAAACCAAGGCAGTTGGCCTCTGGGAGAGTCCTGTAGACAAAGAAAGTCAACTACGCACGACACAAGTTAGAAAGAAGTCCTTCAGTAATGCCTCTTTGGGGGAAGTCACATGTGCAGGGCACTCCCTGGAGATTCTAAAGTTGACTTGGTTCAGGATGTGGAGCCTGCTCACCTCCTGCCTCCCACACTCACAGAGCAATGAAGCATTCTTGTTTTTCTAAGATGTTCTGCTCCTCAATATGCCCTCTTTCTCTCCTTCCCTTTCCCCTCCCTGCCAATCCTTCAGCCCCACTCCCTCAGGCTTCCTCCTTCTGTATTACAGATCCAGAATAGCTGAACTGCCATGCAACTAGAAAGCTCTCTTTCCCTCACCTCCTACATTCAGCTAGTCAGTCAGCTGATTGTGTCACCTAAATAGTTATTGCCCGGCCGGGCGCGGTGGCTCACGCCTGTAATCCCAGCACTTTGGGAGGCCGAGGCGGGTGGATCACGAGGTCAAGAGATCGAGACCATCCTGGTCAACATGGTGAAACCCCGTCTCTACTAAAACTACAAAAAATTAGCTGGGCATGTTGGCGCGTGCCTGTAATCCCAGCGACTCAGGAGGCTGAGGCAGGAGAATTGCCTAAACCCAGGAGGCGGAGGTTGCAGTGAGCCAAGATCGCGCCATTGCACTCCAGCCTGGGTAAGAAGAGCGAAACTCTGTCTCAAAAAAAAAAAAAAAAAATAGTTATTGCCCATTCCATTTCACAGCCTTAGTGTGGGTCCTCATCTCTTGCCTAGACTATTGCTCCAGCCTCCTCACTGGCCTCCCAGAGCCCACACTCAGTATTTCACCTCACTCTGCCCAATCCCTCTCACTCCCATCCATGCTTCCAATCATGGCCTCCATAATGACCTCTTGCAAACCCAAATCCCTTCGGCTACTTCTCTTCCCCAAACAATTAGTGGATCCCATTACTGAGTGATCACTAAAACCCAGAAACTACAATAAGGGATTTACAAACATATGACGCTCCTCAAAACTATTCAGAGTAAGTATTGGTATGCTCATTTTACCAAAGGGGAAAACTCGGAGTGAAAGATTAGGTATTTTTCTTAGTCTTTTTTTCAGTTTTAATTTTTTAATTTCAGTAGCTTTGGGGATACAAGTGGTTTTTGGTTTCATGGATGAATCGTATAGTGGTGAAGTCTGAGATTTTAATGTACCCATCACCAGAGCAGCCTACATTGTACCCAATAGATAATTTTTCTTCCCCTAACCACCCTTACCCTCCCTTCCTTGAGTCTCCCATTTCCATTACACCACTCTGTATGCCTCTGCATACCCATAGCTTAACTCTCACTTAGAACATGCAATATTGGTTTTCCATTCCTGAGTTATTTCACTTAGGATCATAGACTTCAGTTTCATCCAAGTTATTGCAAAAAACATTATTTCATTCTTTTCTGTGGCTGAGTATTCCATGGTGTATACATATGCACAACACATTTTCTTTATCCACTTATCACTTGATTCCTTATCTTTGTAATTATGAATCTTTTTGTTATAATGACTTCTTGTCCTCTAGGTAGATACCCAGTAGTGGGATTGCCCAGTAGTAGGATCAAATGGTAGATCTACTTATAGTTCTTTGAGAAATCTCCATACTGTTTTCCATAGAAGTTATACTAATTTGAATTTCCACCAGCAGTGTATAAATGTTCCCTTTTCACCACATCTATGCCAACATCTATTGTTTTTTTTTACATTTTAACAATGGTCATTCTGACTTGGATAAGGTAGAAACTTATTGTGGTTTTAATTTGCATTTCTCTGATAATTGGTGATAGTGAGCATTTTTATACATTTGTTGGCTGCTTGTATCTTATATATTTTCTTTACTTTTGTCTTTGTTGTATTTGCTTTTGTGATCTTAGTCATAAAAGCTTTGCCTAGGCCCATGTCCAGAAAAACTTTTCTAGGTTTCCTCTATATTTCTTATGGTTTCAGGTCTTAAGATTTAAGTCTTTAATCCATCTTGAGTTAACTTTTGTATTTGGTGACAGATAAGGATTCAGTTTCATTCTTCTGTATGTGGCTATCCAGTTTTCCCAACACCATTTATTAAATAGGATGTCCTTTCCTCAGTTTACAGTTTCATGTGCTTTGTCAAAAATCAGTTGTTTGTAAGTGTTTGGCTTTATTTCTGGGCTCTCAATTCTCTTCCACTGGTCTACGTGCCTACTTTTATACCAGTACCATACTGTTGTGGTTACTACAGCCTTGTAGTATAATTTGAAGTCAGTTAATATGATGCCTTCAGATTTTTTCTTTTTGCTTAGAATTGCTTTGAGTGTCTGGGCTCTTTTTTGGTTCTGTATGAATTTTAAGATTGCTTCTTCTAATTCTCTGAAAAATGATGTTAGTATTTTGATAGGAATTGCGCTGAATCTGTAGATTGCTTTGAGCAGTATAATCATGTTCACAATATTGTTTCTTCCAATCTATGAACATGAGATGTATTTCCATTTGTTTGTGTAATTTATGATTTCTTTCAGCAGTGTTTTGCAGTTCTCCTTGTAGAGATCTTTCACCTCCTTGGTTAAGTATATATCTGGGTATTTTTTAATAGCTATTGTAAAAGGGATTGAGTTCTTTTTTTAATTCTCAGCTTGTTTGTTGTTGGTGTATAGCAATGCTGCTACTGACTTATGTACATTGATTTTGTAACCTGAGACTACTGAATTCATTGATCACATCTAGAAGTCTTTTGGAGGAGTCTTTAGGGTTTTCTAGGTATAATCATCAGCAAACAGAGATAGTTTGATTTCCTGTTTTCTAACTTGGATGTCCTTTCTTTCTTTCTCTTGCCTGACTATGCTGGCTAGGAATTCCCAAAAAGATTAAATAATTTGTACATCTCAAGGGTAGAAACCGGTCCCAGACTTGAGGGAAGACCTGTACTCCCTTCCCAAAATAAGCTTTTAGTATGGTATTCTAGACCCTCCATTATCTGGTTACAGTTTGCCTTCCTGGACTCCCAGGTCCGCTGACATATACGTGTGCATACACACAAAAGTACAGTTTTTGAGCCTGGCACGGTGGCTCACGCCTGTAATCCCAGCACTTTGGGAGGCCAAAGTGGGCAGATCATGAGGTCAGGAAATCAAGACCATCCTGGCCAACATGGGAAACCCTGTCTCTGCTAAAAATACAAAAATTAGCTGGGCGTGGTGATGTGCGCCTATAGTCCCAGCTTCCCAGGAGGCTAAGGCAGGGGAATCACTTGAACCTGGGAGGCAGAGGTTGCAGTGAGCCAAGATAGCACCATTGCACTCCAGCCTGGTGACAGAGCAAGACTCTATCTCAAAAAAAAAAAAAAAAAAAAAAAAAAAGAACAGTGTGTGTGTACATTCCTATATGCACAGCATGATGTACTAGGTCACCTCATGGCTTTTTGTCCTTGTATCCAGGAGAATGCCTGGATTATTCTGGGCAATGAACAAATGGTTTTTGAATAAATAATTGCTGTCCCTTCTGGAATTTATTTTTGTTTCATTCATCTGTTGCACTCATATCCATACCCCAAGGACCTATAAGCATATTGTTTCTTCAAGGAAGCTCTTGCCACCCCGTTTCTGCAGAATTATTTCTCTCATATGTATCTCTCTTGTATTAACAGCACATTGTTTATACCTGTGCTGTAACATATATGTTAGAACATATAACACCCTCTTGGCACTATAAATTCCACATGTATATATCAACATGCTTGAGATTGAACATTTTTTTCTTAAGAGCAGGTTTGATGTTTTGTTCACTTATGTGCTCTTGAGTTTCCAAACCCCTCTTCTGTTACCGAGAAAAAAAAAAAAGATAAGAGAAAGAGAAAAAAGAGGGTGCGGGGTCACTGAAGTCAGTGTAAGGAATGTGATTCCTTCCCCCTCTGTCCTCCATCCTATGCCAGGATGATAATGACAAATCCAAGCATCTTTCCTGGGCTCCTCATCTGGGAAGATGAACTTCATGTGCCTTGGTGAATTCTGAGGTTTATAAAGCTGACTCTCCTTTTCACCTCATATATGAAATAGTCTGCATAAAGTAATTTTTGGGAGCTTGAACTATTATAAATCCAGATCCTCGCCCAGGGTACTCCTTTGTCACTGTCTTTCATAGGAATCCCAACCCAACTTGATGGTCCTCAGGGCTGCCATGAGAAACAATTTTACTTAGTACCAATATACATATTTTCTTCCTTTGGACACCCTTCTAGTGCAAATTTATATTTAAGATTCTTAGCTAATCCTCCTTCTTGAGATAATTTACAGAGATAAATTAACCCTATGTTTATAGTCTTATGATGATATCTCTCAAGATAAATATTTCTTTTATTTTACAATTTTCACTCAACAAATCCATACTCATACGTGATGTAGTCAGAGTATTCCAGAACTCACTGAGTACTCCCAAAGAGTTGTGGGTAGAAAAGGGAGGAGACACCATTAGATGAACACTTATCCCTCCAATTGCTCTGTTCCATGTTGTCATTATCTGCCCCCATAGTGCCTTTTATGGGGCCTACTGAGTGTCTGAAACATGTTTGTTAACTTTTTGAATATGTACACCCTGGGTGAAGATACCCCTTAAACTTTCTCATAAATTACCAGTTAATGCCTTAGCAAGAGTTCACAGGCAGAGGGCTGAATGCAAGAAAGGACCAGAAGGCCCCCTACCTCTCTCTCTATTCTGCCAGAGCCCCCTGAGTAAAGAACTGTCATGAGCCACCCAGAGAAACAGTGTTTTACAGAAGAAACCACGCCAGCCTCCCCAGGTACCGCGTCTCCAGCCCAATGATGGGATGTAGGACCAATCAGTAACCACTCTGAGCTTGCTTCCCGTCAAAAGATGAGAATTAACCTCTGACTCACAAGCTTGTTAGGAAGATCAAAAAAATAGAAAGTGAATATAAAGTGCTTGGCTACCATTATTTTTATTGTTGTTATTTAAAAAATATTTTAGCCATCAAACTTTCTTAGCAATCAGTTGCTGGATTGCTTTTCAATCTCTATCTTCTTATTTTTTGAACTTTTTATAACAGAAAATTTCAAAGATATATAAAATTGAA